AGCGTGGAACTCTTGATCGAAAATATAAATCTTAGAATAGTGCATGCCATTATAGATTTTCTCAAAAAAACTGGTGAACTATTAGAGATTAGTCTTTAATGTTGAGCTCGAGATTTGGGAGACTCCCCTTTTCTTAGGCTCGACGCAACCCAGACTACTTGGACGAATCAAAACCATTCCGGAAATCAAGCCCTCTGACATCCGGATCATATATCTGCATGGTACTGAGATCCGTCTGGATCTGACAACCAGGGGCTACGAAAGAAGAAGAAGAAGCTAAAAGTCTGGTTTTTTACATCTTAACTATTGATAGCCTGAAACATGGCGGCAGATTCCTTGGCCAATCAGGAATTAGATCTCCTTATCTAACTAGTGCGCTACTACTCTGCTACCAGCTCACTGATAAAACGTTCTACTGAACTTGCTTATCAATTAAGACATTGGAATTTTCAACTTCGTTTTTCTTGCAATCACTTAAGAAGTGCATTTTATCATTTATTACTAATAATATACTCGACACTGATGCCTATTAATACTATGAGTTTCATAGAAATCGATTGGTATCACGTCGTACCATCTCTATGTAAACTAAGTCAAGTCGATAATACAGTCGATAATCTCATTGCAATATATATTAATTCGAACTGTGTTTGGTAGCGCCATGATGTACATCGATATGCGTTTATATCGCAATCGATACGGATCGTCCATATATCCGATTATTGTCGCACACTTTTATTGTCGCACATTCTTAACATCACTTCTGGTGAATCCGATTATTGTCGTACATTCTTAATTAAGCATCATGGAAGCGGAAGCCCATAATAATAAGTTATGTGTACTATGATGGAGGATATAGAGGTAGGTTATATTTACTAAACATATATTAATTTTTACATATTAATGTTTGATTTGTCGTTATTTTTTTCTATATTTATAGTTAGACGATTTTATGGACGAATTCTCGTGTCCGACGAAAGAATGAAAGTTTCCACTCAGCCGATTTTCGTTAGTGCCGCACAGCCATCCGTAAGTTACATGTCGCGGGACATTATTTCCTGATTTTATTTAGATGCGGGAAAGTGTATTATCAGCGCTATTGTGTCGTATACTATTTTTATTTAACATTAATAAACAATAGATTAACATAATAGAGCTTTGATAGCATACTTCTCCCTCTCTC